TTGAGTGAAAAAGTAGATAAGTTGCATGATAAAATAGATAAATTATTAGTTTAATGACCAATTCTAGAACTAGCAGAAAATATATCTAAGCTTTGAAAGAAGTTAGTAAGCTAGATAAAGAACCAGTAGGTTTAATAGAATTTTCAACACAAGTAGCCAGTAGTTAGGGGTGGTTCGGTATGGGATCCCATACCGAAACCCTTGTCCCGATTCCCAAACCGAAATTTTTGGGAATCCCAAATTCAATACCAATTCCAAACCAAATTTTCGGGAATCCCGAAATAATTTCGGGATTTCGGGACAAATCGGGAATCCCGAAATGCTTTTGGGCTTTTGGACTAAAATTTGACATATTATGTTTTTGGGCTAAAATTTGACATAAATAAAGTAACAAACTCAAAAGCAAAAATAGTAGTTACAAGCCAAGGTTTTAAAATAAATAAAGTAACAAACCCAAAATCAAAAAAAATTAGTTATGAGCCAAAGTTTCAATAATTAAGTTACAAACCAAAAGCTAAAAAGCAAAGCTTAAAGTCTATAAATATTGTTGGCCTCTTCGGCCCCTTCGTCCCCTTGATCTTGTTGATGCTTGTGGTTGCTCCCTTCTTGTTGGTACTTGTACTCTTCCCCTTGATGTTGATGGTTGAGCCCTTCCCCTTGCAACGGGTGGTCGTGGAGGTAGTGATTGATTTTGACGTTGTTGAACTTCAACTTGGAGTGGTCGAGGAGGTGGAGGTGGTGATAGGAGCATATTTAGGCGACTTAGCTAGCTTATTCTTGTGCATTTGTGTTATTATTTCTTAGTTAATGTTGTATTTCAACTCATTTTCGTGTGTTTGTAGGTCCAAAGGGTTGAAGTACCAAGAAAATGCATTTTGATGCATTTTGGAGCAGTTTTGGGCACTAAATGGATAGCACATGTATGGGCCAAGATGGATGGACGAATTTGGAGTTCAAGAGGCTAGAAATATGATAAGAAGATGAAGAAATTAAACTCAAGACAAAGTGGTTAAGGAATCAGCTCAAAAGAGGAAACATTATCCAAAACCTTATCTAACCTTATCTCACCTTATCCAACCTTATCCTATCTTATCCTAACCTAATCTTGTTCCACCTTAATCCTAGCTGCAAGTGGACCTAAAAACCTAATTTCTAGAAGCCTTATCTGACCCTAAAAGGGTGCCACACCCTTCCCCCTTTTATCTCTTCTAGAAAACCCAAAATCAGCCACAAAACACCTAGTTTCTAGAAGGCCCAATTTTGGACGAATTTCCTAAACCTTTTTCCTTTTGGATTCTGATTTGTTAGGCCTTAATCCTTGTGGATTTGGGTATACAAATCCTTTTATGAAACTAATTGGGCCAAACCCTCTCCTAAGTGGATTTAACTTGCTTGTGCCAAACCCTAGGGCCCTAATCCATAAAATCTGCTAAATGTAACCCTAATCTACTTAACCCTAGGACTATATGAACATAAAATTAGCCAAAAATTCGTACCACCCCTCATACTATACAGAAAACACCTTTCCGCAACACCCTAGCCTACATTCTCATCCTCCATCCCCTCCATACACCTCCATACACCACCTGCCGCACCCTACCACCATAATCAACCATCCTCCATCCCTCTAAACAAGAAAACACCATCCAAAACCCCCAATTCCACCACACACACCTTGTGCCGCAGCAAAAAGGAGGAAGAGGAGCCAATCTGTGCATCGAATCCATCTTGGAATTGCTGAACGTTTAGGTGTAATCTTTCTTATGATTTCAATGTTTAAATTCAATACTCTTTGTTTTGCAAGCATGAGGAACTAATCCCCTTTTGGCTAGGAGGGAATTTCGAAACCATGGTTATATTTGCATGATGATTTGATTACTTTCAGTTGTGATTTCATGAATGATGAATTCAATTTACTTATCTGTTTTAATTAAAACTTATTTATGTATATGAATTAAGAGTGCACACTTAATTTGCATGCATAAATATGATGCTAGGGTATAAGGAAACTTCACCTAATTGTTGGGAACTTATATTCATGAGTAGTTAAGATTGTTGGTCACAATTATGTTAAGTAAATTCTTGGCATAAGTATCATGCGCTTTCATAGTTACGAATGCCTCGTCAACACCTATGATTTCCATAGAACCTAATGATCTTTGATTGTCCTTCTATTATGCGCTTTCATATAGAAAACTTTAAAGGAATAATTTGATTGCAATGCGCTAATTCCATTCAATTCAATGACCTAAGGGAAATCTGGGAGTTAATTTAAGCGTACCTAATTAACTTGGGGTGTTGAGGTTAATAATTCATTGAATAAGCAACTGAAGATTGTGTTGTATGCAAGTATGCCATGTGTGGAGAAAAACCTCGTAGCCATCTCACCATCCACTTAATTCCATCAAATTCGTCCAAATCTGCCTAGTTTAATTTCTTGTTTTGTTTTGTTTATTTTCGTCCAAAACCAAATCCCCATTTATTCTAGAGTGTCTAATTGGTTCAAATATGTTTTAGATTGTGTTTTTAAGAGTTTTGAGTCAAGGTAGAACCAATTTTCGTCCAAGTTTGTGTTTAGGCTCAAAACTGCCCAGTTTGTGTTTTTAGGCAGTTTTGAGTGCTTTTAGCCTATTTTGAGTCTTGTGAACTTGTTTGAGTCTTTTTAAGTGAGTCAAGTGTTTTAAAGGTCAGTTTTATTTATTTGAGTCAGTTTAGAGTGTTTAGCAATCCCTCCTAATCCCCGGTGTAAGAACGATCCCTACTTATTTATATGCTACAATTGTCAAAAGAGGGTTAATTTGTGTGTTAAGTTAATTTCCACATCATGTGGCATTTCATTTTCTTGTGTTGTATTCTCCTCACCTCCCAAATTAGCCGTGCCTAAAACAATAAACTACAAATCATTTACATTGAATTATAGTCTAATAGATAATAAATACTAAGAAATTAAAAGAGGAAATTAAATTGTTTACTTACTTCTTTCTAAGCGTTCAAGCTCCTTGTAGAAATGGAATTCGTCAAGTGTAGGCTCCTTGTAGAAACAAAATTCTTTTCCTCTAAGCCAATCACTAGTACACACTAAAGCCTCAACCGTTTTAGGTGCTAAGGAAGTTCTAAAAGGATCAACAACTCTCCCACCAAGACTAAAGGCATTCTCACTAGCAACGGTGCTACTAGGAAGGGCCAAAACATCCTTAGCAACTTTACTAAGAGTTGGATATTGAGCACAATTTCCTTTCCACCAATCCAAAAGATTGAAACCCTCATATGTTAGGCTTTGATGTGGATCATTGAAGTACATATCCACTTCATTGGCTATCTCATTTTGTTGTGCCTCCGCTCTCTTTCGTTGGATCTTCTTTGTCATCCTTGAAGCAACATCAATATCTACAATCACACCCCCCACATCATCTAGTACAACACTTGATCTTTGCTCCACATTTGAGGTAGCACTACTACTAGTACTACTAGTACTACTACTACTAAGGACCACTCCCTCCTTGTATGCATTATACAACTCGGTTACATAGCCTTTAACCCTTACTTTCTCCTCCCTTATTTTGTCCCATCCATAGCCGAGCTCTTCTAGATTTGTCTCCAACATATCAAATTTGTACCTAGGGTCGAGTACTTGGGCTACAAAGAGAATAGGATTCACCTTTTCAATGTGACCCCAATATTTGTCAAACTTGAGCTTCATTGAGGTAGCCACACTTTGCAAAGTGGCATTAGAGGCGTTTAAAATTTGTTCTTGTATCTCCACTTGCAAGGCAATCACTGTGCTAAGTATTAAGTGTGACGTTGGAGTAAGGGTTGCACTCAATGTCAAGGTGGCATCATAAAACTTTTTAAGAAAGTGAGCAAAACTCATCGATCTTTCCCAATCATCCACCTCCGGAGGACCCACCCGCTTGGTCTTTGTTGTCACCCCATCAACCTCTTTCGAGACCTCCTCTTTAAAGTAAGCAATAAAAGAGTCACACTCAAAGGCCATCTTAGAGAACACTTCTTTAAACTTGAAAGCACTATTAAGCATCTCATATGTGGCATTCCACCTTATGACAACATCAAAAGGGATACTTGACATCCTAGCAAATCTCAACAAGACACAATATTCCCTAAAAGACTCCAACCTTGCCGGGGATGAGTGTATAAACTTCACACAATTTCTTATGGCATCAATTTCACAACTAAGCTCCGTCATTCCATCCTTAACTATCAAATTGAGGATGTGACAAGCGCACCTCATGTGCAAGTGAGCCCCGTCAAGTAAAAGAGTACCATTTGACTTGAGTCTTCTTTTCATGTATGCAATGGCGGTGTCATTTGCACTAGCATTGTCAACGGTAATGCTAAACACCTTGTCAATGCCCCAATCATTCAAGCAAACCTCTAGACATCTTCCAATATCATCACCCTTATGAGAAGTAACTTGGACAAAGTTTAGGATCCTCTTATGCAACCCCCAATTAGTGTCCAAAAAATGGGCCGTGATGACCATGTAGTTTATCATTTGAATTGAGGTCCAAGTGTCGATTGTAATACTCACTCTCAACCCCTCAATCACACTTTTTATTTTAGCCTTCTCTTCAACATACAACTCCAAAACCGCCGCCGCCACCTTATGCCTATTAGGAAGTTTGTATTTTGGATTCAAATCACGAATAAATTCTCGAAAGTCTTCTTGATCAACCACCCTAAAAGGCATCTCCGCTATTATAATCCACCTCACACATCTTCTATCAAGTCTTTTTTGATTGAAAGTGTGAGTGACAACCGGACCTCCCATCCTCGCTTGTGTCAATGTAGGTTGCTTCGGATCCACATTCTCAAAGAGACTAAAACCCGGGCATTTCCTCAAATGCTTAAGAATTCCTGTTGTCCCATGAATTATAGGGTGTGCCGGTACTAAGAGTTTGCAATGCTTGCATTCGGCCATGAAAGATTTCTCCCCATTATTATCGGTGATCGTTACCCTCTTAGCATCATTCCACGCCGGACTTGGACCCTTTCTCCTATTGCCCTTTTTCCGAGGAGGACCCTCCCATTGTCTCACTACTTCTTCTTCTTCTTCTACTTCCTCTTCCCCTCTTCCCCCTCTTCCTCATCTTCTTCTATTTGTTCTAATGCAATATCCTCCTCCATATCCGGATCATCATCCCAACAATCTTCATAATAATCATTATGCAAATAATCTTGAGGTAAGGGAGTGCCTAGTTGAAGGGTACCACTAGGTTGGGTTTGTTTTCGTTTTCCTAATACCGAGACCATAGGTGTACTAGATTGGCTACTAGACCCGTCCATCCTAACAAATAAAATAACAATGCACATTAATATATCACAACCACAGTTCAGCATATATCCAAATTCTAATCAATAAATAAAATAAATGGTTCAAAAATCTGAGCATTCAACATAGAAATATTTTTTGGATATAAACAGTATACATATTACCGATCTTTATCTCATATTCCTTCGCAGTGGGTGTCGCAGTAACATAGATATTATCTATATTTGGTCTTCAAATAAGCATACAAAACTATCTAACTACATAAGCAGTTAAACTAATATATGGTTTATGGTTTGTTATTTCATTAAGCTATATGAATAAAAGATATATTATCAGACCAAAGCACCAAACGAAACAACGTGGTATCTCATTTATGATGTATGATTACAATTTATAAAATCAGACCAAAACATCAAAATGAAATAACATGTCATCTCAAGAGTATCAATTATGCAGACCAAATGTCAGGGAACAAACTTTCATCCTAAGCAAAACTAAAAGAGTTAAAAAGTACCTCTCACGGGTGTAAAAAGTGAATGGTATGTTAGAAAGCACGCATCAAGATCCTTTAGAGTTGGTCCTATTGGAATCCTACAAATTGGATACCTGAAAAGGTCATACCAAAAACAATTAGTCACACGACACTGTACAACGAGTAAACGAAAACAGTGATCTATACTATAGTACCATGCAACAGATATCCAACTGGATGACAGTAGATCATAGCTTCTTAGTGTCTTTAGCTCAGGAAAATGGAGTATCTGTAGAAAGGGAAGTTCAGAACAACATCCGAAAAAAGGGAGGTCATGACTCATAAATAGCAAGATATATCACTATTGATGCTAGAGAGAAATGAAATTATAAGTTTATAAATTATAACCTTGTCAGCTAAAGGCTCACGGCAATAAGGAAGGTCCCGTTCAAAATACCCAAACAGTAAGGAACCTTGAGAATTTATAGATTCGCCCTCATCACTGGAACAGTCTTCGTGGGGTGGTAAATGCGGGTCTCTCAATGATAATCTTTCTATCCTACGAGGAATTTCACTAGTCAGAATTTGGTGATTCCATTGCTCACGCAAATATTTTAGCCTATCAGTTTCGTAATCACAGCTACCATCACTGCTAGAATCCCTGAAGTCACTATCACTGTCCTCATCTAGTTGCCTATCAATAAACGACCATCAATCTTTGAATAACATAAATGAATGAAATAAACCATTCATGTTTTGACAAAAAGCAAATATGTAAACTAAAGTAAGCAACGGGCAATAGTCAGTATACACTGATTCCGTTAAAAGTATATATTCTGATGCAAGGAGTAAACAAACATAGTAATCCATGAAACCCGTTTACCATAAGTGCACGCACCATACAATCAAGAACAACAACAAATTCTCAAATTCAGTTTTGGATTTACCTCTGAGTAAATGCAGGACAAAAATCATTTTGCAGAGAGATAACGGTACACTTATCACTGATTCACTATCATGAAAGAAAATACAAACAATGCATGCATTTGACTATAACCAACTAGAACTATATCGAAATTCTTCTAAACTACAAAACAAATGATAAATCGAATTAAGCCAAAAGTATGTAGTAAAATGTATACCTTGTCTTAGTTGCCAATTTCGCAGAGCGGCTGTATATTTGAATGCCGGACAGTGAACCACAGAGTCACTGTCATTCAAAATCAGAGGCACTCCTGCACCATAAGCACTCCACTCCTTGAAGGACTACCTCTATCCGCACTCAACTTCAAGCTCACAGACAAATTGAAATGGGTGATTCTGGTGAAGCCGTGAAGGAAGGCTGCTGGAAGTAAGGAAATCGAACGGAAGTGAAAATTGAAAGGGGATTTAACCTAAAAACAAATGAACGGCACAGATTAAATCTAAAACAATGAACGGTTGAAATAATTCTCTTATAATGAAAAAATAATATATATATATATAATATTTATTTCAATTCGGTATGGGAATATCAAAAAAATGGAGATGCAATACCGAATCCCATATCGAAAATTTCGGGAATTTTGGTTTGGGATTTTTTTGGTTTGGGATCGGGATTTTTTCGGTTTGGTTTGGGATTTTTGGGATTTTTTTCCAGCCCTACCAGTAGTAATATTCCCATTAGGCAAAATAATTTAATTATTCAATTAGTTTTAAGTTTGGCTGAAAAATTAGATCAAGTTGAAGAACAAATAGCATAAATAAACCAAGTTTTACATAAAGCATCTCCATCACTTCCACCATCTTTGTTAGAAAAATTAGAAAATTTAACTTTAAGTACAAATAATCATATTAGAAGATCTAAGATAAATCTTTTTGATATCAGAAAATGGAACTTTTTAGGAGAAAAGGAAAAGAAGTAGTTAGAGATAAAGATATTTATCCAAATAAAGAAGAAGCACAAGAATTTATTAGAAGAGATTTTGAGAGAACACAGAAAAATCAATATAATTTGTATCATTTAGGTTTATTTGAAAATAGAAGTAGAATTGTAAGTAGCATCAGTTAACATGAAGTTAGTTGTATTGATAAAGAAGTTACACTTAATTTAATTAGTAAAGAAGCAATTACTCATTTGAGAAAATCATATTTTAGTTAGATTCACATAGGAACAATATTAATTTGGATAACAAGATTAACCAGAGCACAAGTAGGCACAAAAGCTTGAGTGTGTGTGTGTGTGTGTATGACGATAGATGGTATAATCACCAACAAGTAGCAATAGCAACAGCTGAAGTAGACATAAGTTCGAATTTAGCAGTCATAGGATGTATTTCAAATTATGTTATGACAATTAATGAATTTAGTAAATATATTAAAGTAAGTATAAGAACAAAAAATAATAATATGAAAGGAGAGTATAAAAATTTGTGTATTAGCTTAATGTATATTGGTAAAGTGTCTGATAGATATAATCACAAGTTTAATTTAGAATTTTAAATTTAGTTCAAACATTTGGTAGTAAACATGTAAATATGATAGAAGCAAAACCCGCAGATAATAGCTTTTTGGAAGAAACTCAATGAACAATACCTAATTTACAAGTAGCAAGAAATAGACAACCAGATAAAGTACAAATATATGAAACTAGTACAGATCAAGCAACAATTAGGTTTAGTAATAACAAGCAACTAGAAAAAATAGAAGAGGATGAAAGTGAGATAAAAAATGAAAGTATTCATATGGCTTTTAATAATTTAGATATTAATTTAGTTGAGCAAAATTTTGATCATATTGTAGATAAGCTTATAGAAGATATTGACCATTTAGATGAAGAACAATACTTAGAAAAATATAAGACATATGACTTAAAACTACATAGAATTTCAGATGAAGAGATGAAAATTTTAATTTTAGAAATAGGAGTAGAACATATTTTAGGATCAAAAAAATATAATAATTTATTAGAATTAAAAGTAGAATGTAATCCAGCAGAAGAAAGTAGTACATCAGGAGTAAAAAATCCAGGATACACAGGTAGAACTGACCAACAATTTTTGAGGCCAACAAATGAACAATATAATGAAAAAGCAAAAGTAGACTACATGGAAGAAAGTATGATAAAACCATCTAGAAAAAATAGGATAACATATTTGAGAGGGTTAGAACAAATTAATATAGCAGGAAATATATTAAACTTAGATAACGTAGATCCACAAGATTGGGAGAGAACAATTGAAAGATGGGAAAAAGGTTGCGTACATGCAGCATTAATGTTAGATTTTAGTAATTCATAAAATATGCCACATCCCGACCTGGGCTCCACCACATCCCGGGGTCGACTCCACCATAGCACGATATTGTCCGCATTGGGTCCGGACCACGTCCTCACGGTTTTGTTTCTAGAAACTCACACGAGAACTTCCCAATGGGTCGCCCATCCTCGGATTACTCTCGCGCGAACTCGTTTAACTTCAGAGTTCCAATGGAACCCGAAGCCAGTGAGTTCCTAAAAGGCATTGTGCTAGGTAAAGATGGAAATATACATATAAGGCTTACATGATCCACTCCCCTGGGCGATGTGGGATGTTACAATTCATCCCCCCTTAGGGGCCCGACGTCCTCGTCAGCACACTTCCTGCCAGGGATTGGCTCTGATACCAAATTGTCACACCTCGACTCGGGTTCGACTTCGCTGTAGCACGATATTATCCGCTTTGGGCCCCGACCACGTCCTCACGGTTTTGTTTCTAAGAACTCACACGAGAACTTCCCAATGGGTTGCCCATCCTGGGATTGCTCTCGCGTGAACTCGCTTAACTTCAGAGTTCCGATGGAACCCGAAGCCAGTGAGCTTCCAAAAGGCCTCGTGCTAGGTAGAGATGAGAATATACAGATAAGGCTTACTGGATCCACTCCTTTGGGCTGTGGGATGTTACAAAATATGTTAGATTATTTTGAGCATACCTTAGATCGTTTAGTTTTTTATCATTTTTAGTCATGGAAAATTCAAAATCCAGAACAACATCAGGTAGCTAAAACACATTTTAATATTGATGGTTTTGTTACTTTGATTAAACAAGAATTTTTAAATCATAATAGATTAAATGGCAGAAGCGAACAAGAACAAACAAGAGCAATTAGAAATTTAGAACAATTACAAATTTGTGATTTACAATATATAGCTGAGTATACTACAAATTTCTTTAAATATTTAGGAAGAACATGTAGAATTAGCGATATTAATTTATTAGATACTTATATGACAAAAATAAAAGGACCAATAGGTGAAAAGATTTGGAATGAATGGCAAAAGCATCCAAAGAAAAATAATATTGCAATAGGACCTAGAATTCAACATGTATATGATATACTTAGACAAGAGTGTAGTCAAATAAAAGTTAAGAGACAAATTAGGAAGCGATTTTATATGAGCTGTAAAAATATAGATTTACCACAACAGTACGGTTGTCATAAGAAAAATAAGCATACGAAAATACACAAAAAGAAATATAAATCATATAAACCATACAAACAACTTAAGAAATTCAGCACAAGACCTTCAAGAACATATAAAAAGAGAAAATATATTCCAAAACAATTTAGAAAAAGAAGTGGCAGACCTTGGATTAGAAAATATAAAGGCCAAAAGATAAGAGTAGTTGTAAATGTTATTCATGTGAAGAGACTAGACATATTAGACCTAAGTGTCCAAAATTAGGTAAACGAGAGAAAAAATACATTTAATGGAGTTGTTTAAATTAGAAAAGGATGAGGATATACAGTCAATATATAGTTTAGATGATTTAAGTGATAATGAGAGTATTTATAGTATACAGAGTATTAACATGATAGATTTAGAATCTGAAAATTCAAGTAGCACAAATAGTGATTTAGAAGAGTATATGTGTGCATTCATAGAAGAACAACATGAAGAAGAATATAAATACATTAATTTAGGTTGGCCAGAAAAATGTCATAAGTGTAGTAAATTAGTTGCAAATAAATACTATAATACATATTCAATATTGTGCGAAAAGTGTTATAAAAATAAGTTATCATAAATTAATTCAGCAGAATCACAAGAAAATATTGAAATATTAGGAAATATTGTTTATAATATAGAAAAGCCAAAAAATAGTTCTTTAATTACCATAAATTGTGAAATAGAATTAGCAAAAGAACATAAGATACAAACGACAGCTATGATAAATATAGGGAGTACAAAGAGTGTCATAAGAGAAGAGTTAGTACCAGAAAAATATAGACAAAAATTAGCAAAACCAATGAGAATAACATAGTTTGATGAGAGACCAGTTTATTTAACACATTGTATTAATAATGAGTCTATTAAAGTAGAAAAACAACAATTTAATTTACCATTAACATTTGTTTCACCAGTAGGATCATACCCATTTATTTTAGGATTAAACTTTTTGAAAAATTTACAAGGTTTTTTATTTATGAACCGTAGCATAACATTTTTCAAAAGAGGCATTACAATAACTGACCAAAGTAATACTGAAGAAGCGTACAAAAGCATAAGAATGGCAAAAACATCCAAGGCTGCTCCTCCTCTCTTTCTTCCTTGCTAGGCTGCGGCACAAGGGTGTGGAATGGCTGAATTTGGGTTGTGGTGTATTATGGTCAAGGATGGATGAATGGTAGCGTAGTATGATGATTGGTAGGATGCGGAATTGTGTATGGAGGATGATGGCTGAATGGTTGGTGCGGCTATGTGTGTGGAAAGAATGGATGAATCGCTGAATGGTTCAATATTGTGTAATCATATGGATGTGTGAATGGATGTGGCAGAATGTATATATTTTAGGGAAAGGATCATGACTTTAATTAAATGTTTTGGGAAAGATTTGGACCCTAAATCCTCAAGGAAAAAGGTTAATTAAAGTCAGAATCCCAAGGGAAAAGGGAAGAAGGGTACGGCAAGGACAGAAAATAGGAAATAGGAAAGGGAAAGGTGCTGCCTTGCACGGCAAAGAAAAGGAAAAGGAAGGAAGTTGCGGCAATGAGTTTGGGAATGGGATTTAGGCTTCTAGAACATATATTTAAGTGTCCTAAATTCATTAGGAACTGACACACCCCAACCGAGATCAGGGCATGCTGGCCGTCACGTGAAAGTGACGTAGCCATGTGCACAGTGCGGAAGCTAAAAACAGTAATATAAAAGTGCGAATAATTTAAAAACTAGCAAATATAAAGTGATAGAATATGTGCTAGCGTAATTAAGACACTGAATTCAGAGCCTAAGGCCTACAGCAGTCCAAAAGAGACAATACAACAAAAGTACACCCGAAGGTGACCCTACGTAGGTGAGTGTCTGTCAGAATGCCGGGACGTCCTCCGGGAAAACCACCAAACCCGCTAAGCTACTAGAACCTGGAGGGGTGCAAAAACAAAAGCGTGAGTGGGCAAAACAAATCTCTTAGAAAACCATTTCATAAAACATATTATAACCCGTCGCCGTAAAACCTGTATACTTCCCAGAAATAAACATATATACGTAGATATGCCAAGTCATGCTCAAAGGTATGCCATCTCAAAACTTCATAACAACATGCAAGTGCTCAGGTATAAATCACATCGATATCATAACATCTGACAGCCGGAGTCCCCTAAGTGACCTGTACGGCTGAATCTAGAGCTCAAATCTCAATTTCCATAACTAAATCTGCCCACGAGTCAGAACCACCTAAAGTGGTCTGTACGACAGGCCTGGGTGTAAAACATATAAACGCTCTAGTGCTACAATCACGTGAAGGCTGTGCGAATAATCGCGGGTCACC